TAGACTTTGGAAATGAAAAAGAATAAAGAGTAATTAATCATGTAAGTGGAAATTTCCATTTTAGGAGGAGATTTGTAAAACTAAACCTTGAATATTAGGGGAGTTATGAAAGCACATGAAAAATCAGCAGATATAACTACTGTATCGAGTCTTGTCAGGCAGTCAGTTGAGGCTATGTGGGAATATTTGTTCAGAATATGTGAGTAGAATAGTCCAGAACAGAAAGATGGAAATAGTTTATTCTTTTCTCATTTAAGAAAAGAATATTATTTTTCTATACTATAATGAATTGATGTTGCCAATTTCCATTCCCAATTACATTGCAGAATTATTTTCTTCATTTGTAGTCATAAGCTGTCATTTTGGTTATTTCTAAAAGGTTCCTTTCTATGCTTCGTAACTTTACAGTTTCCATTTTGTTTCTCATGTTTCTAATTTCAAGCTCTTTTGCATTATCTGTCTCTGCTTTTGCATTTATAATGATTCAGTTTTGAATTACTTCCTGATTCATAGACATATGAAATGTCAGTTCACAGTCAATCACCTGTTATAACCTTTGTCAGTTCCACTAATCTTTGGTCAATGGAAAGTTAACATACCTTCTGTAGGGTATTTATGATGGTATTCAAGTGATGTGATTATGTTCATAGATAAGCAATTATAAATTTTATAAGTAAAGCTTTATGAAATACTACCATGCTTTGTTATAACTATTTGATATATTATTTCTCCTATTTTACCTTTTTTCTAACTATCTTCTAATTTTATTTGGTGAAAAATAATCAGGAAAATTGTAATTCTGAAAAGGGTTACATCCTAGGATATTTAGAATATTCACCCATATTCCACTTTAAAGCTTCTCCAAGGTTATGCAGTTAATATTTTTAAAGTAGGATATCTTTTCTTTTTATTTGTTAGAAGTGTTTTTAAAGATATCTTGAGTAATTAAATAGAACTGTGTTTCTGAAGAAAGATTAAGAGGGAGAAATGGCCAATTACATCATTGTATTTAATATTCTCACTGCTAAATTAAAATTAAGGTTTTATTGGCTTAAGCTTATATTATCATTGGGTCCCCAGTATTCCTAATGCTAACTGTGTTTATAGCATTGATTGGTAGGCAGTCAGAAAATATCTACCCTAATGAACACTGAATGAAATTTTGTTTTTATTGAGATGTTATCAACCTACAAATTATCTAAGAAAAACTCAGCTTATCACTTCTTACATAAGAATACCAGTGCAATTCAGAAATAAGTTTTACTTAAAATATAGAAGAGGAAAAGAATGGAGTAGCTTAAAAGTATATAGGACATTCTGTTTTAGAATATAGTATCAGAGACAAAATAATTGAGTTTTAAAATTATTTGATATTTAAATTATTAAAATAAAACCTAAACTTTCAAGCCATGATATTTCAACAAAGTATTGAGACTCTTTTTGATCCTTGGTAACTGTGCCTGACTTACACTCTTCTCTCAAATGCTATCCATCATCCTTGCTTAATACAACTTACCCATGTTTAATTAAACCTATTTATAACTCTAGTTTCTCCATTTCTTTGAAATTTTTATTTCAATGATTTTATTCTGATTTAGTCATTTTGATTTTGGCATCTTATCCCTGGCTTTTATTCCTACCTTAAAGTTTTAAATCAGACAAACTGCTTTCTAATCACAACTTCCATCCTTAAAAACTGGTGAGACACTTCAAGACATTTCATCAACTTCTCCACCATCCAGTGAGCAATGGCATTGCCCTCTTCAACAATGTCTGGGTCTTAGCCTTAGGGAAAGTGGTCCTCTTTATCGGGGATATAGTCTCAGCCCAAGTGGCGCCTTCTATCGGTGATCCTAAATTTTCTAGAGTTCTTCTTAGTTTCTTAGGCTGGAAGTCGATAATGATTTGTAACTTCTTTTCTAATTAGTCAATTGGTGCAATAAATATTCCTATAAGCACACTTTAGCTGCATTCCTCAAGTCTCAATCTTGTATTGTTGTCTTCATTAAGTTTGAAATATTTTGAAATTTTCCTTTTGATTTCTTTTATTTGTGAGTTATTTAGAAGTGTGTCATTAAGTTTCTAAACATTGAAGAACTTTCCAGATATCTTTCTCTTACTGATATTTAATTCATTGTGGTCAGAAAACATACTTTGTATAACTTGGACCTATAAATGTGTTGTATGTGCTTGGAAAAAAAGCATTTCTTCCTTTTGTTGGAGGAAGTGTTCTATAATTGTCAACAGGTGAGATTACTTGTGTTCATATTCTTACTGATTTTCTGTGTTTTTAAGTCTTTTCAAGACATCTTTACCATTGCTCTTTGATTCTCAGTTCTGTATTCCCCCACTTTTTCCTTTTTGTATTTCAATTGGAAAAAGTGCTGTATATTTTTTTCATATTAAGTGATTTCTTGCATTTTCATTTTTCTCATTTTTATAGTTTTCATCTCTTTGCTGAAATTCCACATTTGTTCACACAAGTTTTCCACCTTTTCCTTCAAAATGTTAAGGTTAAAGTCTTTGATAATTCCAAAACATGGGCTACCCCTGTGTCTTTGTCTATTGATTGCCTTATCTAATTAATGCAGGTCATTATTTTTTTGCTGTATATGTTTGCATAGTAATTTTTCACTGGATGCTTGACTTTTTTTTCCTATATGAACACTAGAGACTGAGCTAAATATCTTTGTGCTTATTATGGGCATACTTCTTCTTTCAGTTTAATAGGCCTCATTTTGGGGAAGAGGGTTAGTGGTTTAATAAATTCTGTTCTGTATTTAGATGGGTTTATATTACATATAGATAGATAGATAGATAGATAGATAGATAGATAGATAGATAGATAGATAGATATAATTACCTTCAGTGTTCCAGATACTTCAGATTTCTTCAGCAAATGACTACTGTTGGGAGGCTTGGATTATTAAGTGCTTTTCTTCAGTGCTCTGACTTTTAGTTTTCAGTAGGCTCTCCTGGCCTATTGGACATAGTGGTCTGTTTTCCTGCTCTTGTGCTCTCCCTCGTATGTAAATGACTGTTTCTTGTCACTCATTTTCTGTCTCGTGGAGACTGTGTGTTTTTCTTAGTTTTCCTTAGTTTTCCTCCTGAAGCCTTAGTGGTATTAAGCAGACTGAACACCTGAGTCCAAGGGATGGATTTTTCGTCAGCCAAACTTTGCCTTGCATAGGTGGGATGTTTTGGCAGGAGCAAGTTTTTCTGCTTGTTGTCAATGTAACATCCTTGGCTGTTTCCGGCTGCTTATATAGCTAGCTACACATGATTTTATGTCATATGGCTTTTGCTTCATATCAGGAAGGGTCTGGAAAGCAAGAGGTTTTTAATGACTGTGAGACTTTCATGTTTGTTACCCTGCCCTCAGTCTTTCCTGTGAATCCTGTTAGAAGCCTGGGGAATAGAGCTAGCGAATGAGTTTGGATTCCTCTTGTGTTTGGGGCTTTCAGGTATTCTAAACTGTTGTACTAGCACACACTTGGTTTTTTAAGAATTGATCAAACTTCCAGTTGTTTTCTTTGTGCTCACTTTGATGGCTCTCATTTTCTCTTATGCGCTCCCATAGCTAAATCAGTTCATATGTCTCATCTTCCTTTTGAGGGGCTTGGCATTCAGTTTACCTGGTTTCCTGGAGACCTAAGCCTTCTAGTCGCCTTAACAAAAGCTGTGATTTTATAGATTATCTTTTTTTATTATTATTGTCAGGTTAGAAATGATATTCTCTTGCCACTTTATACATTGTAAGTGAAAGTGGAACTTTCCCTTAAACCAGCCTTTTAGAGATAACTTTTAAAGGAACTAATCAAGATTATGACTATAGATCTATAGAGTGATTTAAGGGGGTAAGAAACTTTCCTAATGTTCAGTTGGCACTTGTAACTTGGGATAACATCTGTAGTGACAGTCTCATGTGCAAATTGAAGTATACTGTAATTCAGAGACAGCAGTGAAAATAATGGTAACGTGTTAAATGACTTAAGTATTGGCTCTAATAATGAAGACACTGATATATAGAAGATGCCCATAACAAGTTGGGTAAATTTTCTTTTAAGAATTGTGACTGCAGGAAAAAAATAGTATTTAAATTCCACATGTTATTTTTACATATATGATTTCAAATATGAATAAATAATAAATTATACAGTATTAATGACATTTTAAAATTTCATCTCTTCTCTGAAAAACTCCCCCGCTAAGAATTTTACCTCCTTTTTTATGCATCTTATTCATATAGTACATGTTACAATACATTTAAATTCTGTAAGTTTTAAATGATGATTGGAAGACCTATGTATATTTAAAACTACTTGCTCGGAACTAATTGGGCCTATATCTCTGCTCTTTAGTAGATAAGGGACTGAAAAAACGTTCATTTGTATTTTATATTGTGTATCTTCTGTAATGCAGTTCTTTGCTTGAAAAAATATAAAGACAAAAACAAGAAACAAAAGTAAGACAAAAAAAGAAAACTTAAAAAATTTTCTGCTTTAGGGTTTGGGGAAAACACAGATAATGTTTTTGCATTCCCCATGTCTGAGCTGGCTTACATACAGATTCTCAGAGGATCACTCTACCCCTCCACCTGCCTGTCTCCTTTGTTGCATATATTTATTTTTTATTCATTTATTACTTCCCAGAGTTTCTGCTTTTACTTTGTCTTGGAGTTCTGTCTTCCTTTGGTGCTGGCTCAGCAATGGATTTAAAAATCTGTTTTTTAATACTTTATTCATCATATTAGTTGTTGTAGTTAAGACTATTGTTCAAGATATCTAGCCTGCCATGGAATGGAAATCTTCATATATTTAAAAAAAATATATTTTACTATATTAACCCATATCCCTCTGGATCACCCCCTCCTCCATTTTGCATTTCAGCGTTCAAAACTTATGTATTAAGAAGTTTTTATAAAGCTTATAAAAAATTAAAATACTTTATGTGATTATTATATTATTATATTTCTAAAAATATGTCTATTTGTTTTATAGCTACTTGAAGGAAACTTTGCCAAAGAAGTCAGCCATGAAATGGATGGACTTATTTTTCAGCCTATTGGAGTAAGTTCATTTGTGGGGTGTGTGTGTGTATGTAGTGTGTGTATATACGTATGCGTGTGTGTCTGTGTGTGTCTGTGTGTGTCTATGCATACATATACATGTATGTATATGTATATATAACACTTTCCTCAGACATGTTTACTTAAGATTGATTTCTGCTGTAATTACTGCTTTTCCTTAAAATAAATTGTTCATTGTAAAATAATTCATTTATACTAAATATATATAATAAAATGAACATTTTTGCTTTTCACTCAGCTTAAGAAATAAACATGGCTGATAGTTATTCTTCCAGAAACTTAGTTTTTTAATATCTTTAATTTTCTTTTTTTCCTCACAAAATGAATGTTAATTTATGTTCCTTTACTAGAAATCTACTAATAATATTATATAAATGCTTATTTCTTTATGTAGGTCAATATACCTTTAAGTATTAATATTTCTAAAACTTTATTTTACTATGGATGAGTAAACTAAAGAGTTATTGATACTTGAAGAAGATAACAATTCTTTGAATGTTTATTCCATGTCAAATTTCTGAAACTCCTGAAGAACTTTCACCCACTTAACGGTTAAATCATACATTTGGAGTAAGTTTTGTTTTACTCTAGCAGGGTTTCTCAAGCTCAACACCATTGACATTTTTGGCCAGATAATTCTTTACTATGAGGAGCTGTCCTGTGCATGATAGGATGTTTGGCAGAATCCTTGGTCTGTACTTACTATATGCCAATATTACCTCTCCCTCTCATACCCCCAGGTTTTGACAACCAAAAATATGTATGTTAACTGCCTAATTTCTCCTGGAGAGCAAAGTTACCTTCACTTAAGAACCTGTGCTCTGTAGGGCAATGTTTCTCAAAATGTGGCTTGTGGACAAGAAGTGTTAGCACTACCCAGAAAGTTGTCATAAATGTCACTCTCCCCAGAAGTACTGACCAGAAACTCTGGGAATGGAGTCTAGCAATTTGTGCCTTAACAAGCTCTCCAGATGACTCTGATGCATGTTCAAATATGAGAACCACTACAATATAGGTGTTGGATTTCATGTGTTATGCCTCATCATATGCTGCACCTTGCCCTCACCAACTCTATCCTTAGAAATTAGGATATTAGCTAGTTGTGAAGTTACATAGAGAGACATCAAACTGGGTACCTGGAGAAAAGGGAAGGGAACTAATATTTTTGAGCAGTGTATTAAACACTATATTATATATGCTTTACATATGTAGTAAACTGTGCTCTTATGCAAATTTAGGTATAATGTGATATGTGATTGGCTTCTGTCTTCCTCCCAGTCTCCCTTGCCAAACAGGTAGAAGGAAAATCCTCTGTGGTTGAAAGAGGAAGAGATGGAGAAGAGTTAGAAGCTCAGGATAGAAATCGAAGAAAATGCTGTCTTAGAAAGGTGGAAGTTAGACCTTTGAGTTTCAGTATTTTCCAGGCCTGATCTCCTTAGATTGAAAGAAATAAATTCAAAATATAATAGTAATTATAATAAGTTTTATTGTTTAAACTCATGGTTCAGACTCATGCATATGTGAGATTTTGGTGGTATGTAAGAATAGTTGCCTGACAAATAAGTGAGTCTCTGGTCTAGTATAGTCAGTTGATTTATTAGTCAGTTGATTTATTAGTTTGTTCTGGTAACCACTTTTATTACAATGATTTTGTAATTGATAACTGGTAAGGCAAGTCTCCCTGTTCTTTGCTAGGATTTTCTTAAATATTTGTGGACATTTGGTTTAACATGTAAGTTTCAGGATCAGTTTGTCAGGTTACCCAAAAATTCTTGTTGGGAATTTAATTAGAACTGCTTTGAATTTAGATTAATTTGGAGAAAATCCATGTTTTTACAATGTCTTCTCAATAAGGTATAGCTTTTTTTCAGGTCTTTTTCTATTCTTTAATCGAGTTTAAGTTTTTAAATTGTTGTTAATCTAATTCCTAGATATTTATTTTCTCCTTTTATAGTAAATGGTGCCTTTTTTATTTGAAACTTCTGATGTATTGTCACACTGTTGATTAAACTATTGTGTTAATTTAGCAATCTTGCTGAACACTCTTAGTTTTAATAATTGTCTCATTTTATATATTGGCCGGGACCTCTAGTACTAGTTTAAATATTGACTCTCATCGGATGGAGGAGAGGGAGACATTTGTACCTTATTCTCAACCTCAAAGAGAATGTGGTTAAGTATTCTCCATTACATATATATATATATACACACACACACACACATAAATATATATATATTTATATTTAAGTTTATTGGGATAACATTGGTTAATACAATTATATCATATTCAGGTGTACATAATAATTTGACATCTATATATTCTATTGTGTGATTACCACCCAGAGTTCAGTTTCCTTCAGCTACCATATATTTGATCCCCTTTACCCACTTCACCTTCCCCCAGCCCCCCAATTTTGACCCCCTTTACCCTGTCTACCCCATTACGTATATTTTTGATAGATTTCTTTGGATACCTTTTATCATGTTAAGTAATTTTTGTTTCTGTTCTTACAAAGGTTTTTTTTCCAATTATAAATAGACATTGAGAGTAAATGAATGCCTTTTCTGTATCTGTTGAGAGATTATGTCATTTTCCTTTTTATGACATTCATGTAGTAAATTACAGCAATTTTCTCATATTGACCCATCCTTGCATTTTAGGGTAAATGCTACTTGATCATGATACATGTAATTTTTAATATACCTTTGGATCTGGGTATAATAGTTTCTTGAAGATTTCTGCTATCTTATTCCTTACAGTTCTTTTCTCTCTCATTTTTGTATATTCAAAATAAAGTAGGTGATATTGTGGAAAAATTGTATAAGGTCCAAGTAATACATAATAATACATGCTCATGTTATTAAAAGTCAATTAACATATCATGGTTTATACTGAAAAATAGATCACCCAAAATGCCACTCCTAGGAGGTAATAATTTTCTGATGTTTTAGCTGATTTTTTTCTTCCTTATTTCTGCAAAATCTATGCTGTTTTTTCTTGGTTTTCCGTTTTCTACATGATATGCTTACTTTCTGCTATTGAAGAATAGAATTAAGCTCTCTAATCCCACCAACACTCCCTCACTTCTCCTTTGTCATCCCATTATAATTATATCACATGTTTGGTCTAAATGAATATTCAGTATTTATATTTCTATGGTGACATAAATATTACGCACATCTGAGTCAAGTAATATAATACATTTTTCTTTTTTAGAAATTTTTTTCTTCTAGAGCTAAGAATTGCCTTGTATTTTCATTTCTTATGATATTACTTCTTCCCCTAAACTCTAAAAGAACTGTTAAAATTTTTTAATACAGTCAGATCAGGTAATATATCTAGTCCAGTTTTTATTTGAAGGCATTCCTTCTGAAGCTCTCCATTCTCTAGTCTTGCTGCATAGCTTTTTCTTCATGGGATTTCTCTTCATTTGAGATAATCTCATCCTGTAAATTCCCTGTCTGCAGAATAAAATAAAAGTTTTTTTATTATTCAAATGAAATAGCTTGGCTCCCTCTTGCCCCGCTTCTAAATCATGATGCACTGCAGTATTGCAAGGATCCCTTTCTACTTCCTAGGCTCTTTCCTAGGATTTTTACTTTATTCCATTCAAGTTGTCCTGATTCCAGTCACCAGGTTCTAGAAAGGTGAAATTCTGATGAGTTCATAGATTGACTATTTTTTGTGCATTTGTTGCCTTCATTAATACACACTGATGCTGTTGAAGATAGGGATTTCTAAGTTAACTCTGTTAGTCTGATGGTAATATATTAGGGTATAAAGGAGACAGAAGAGTAGTTGCGAGGTTTCTTCTGTGTCACCTTAGGCATGAACACTTAGTTTTATCGCTCTTTAGGAAACACGTACACATACACAGAAACATGACAAAATGATTTCTCTATCATTACTTTTAGACTAGCTTGGTCAAAGTGGTTTTTAGGCTCATATACACCTTTGTGTAGAATTAAATCTTTTCCATGACACTCTAGGTCCTGGTCACTAACCTGGTCTCCTTTCCCTGACATGAAGTCTCTCAGATTCTTTAATGCAGCTAATGATTAGCTAATGATCTCATTCTGAGTCCTGGCCAAGAGAGATGTAATATTGTGACTGAAAAAAAGCAGTAGTTTGGGCCTTAATGAGATCTTGGATTTCTGTACATATTAAGTCTCTTCCCTGCTCTTCATTCCATAGAATTTATGAGGGAGTGGTTTGCTTTGTGAAGCCAAAAAGGGGTTTTTCTATCTTTCTTCATGAACAGTTGTTACCAAATTGACAAATATCTTTAGAACTAAAACAGATCATTTAAATGATTATTGTCAAAGCAAAAAAGATCTTCAGGATGACTTGCTGTTTTTCACACAGGTAAAGAAGTAGCTACCACCTCACAATGTACCTGTTAGTTATGTTTTTATCTTACAAAGCTATGGGCTTCGTTAAGGTTATTTCCTTTCTTATTTATCTAGATATGTTTAGTGTCTAGGATAGAGTGTTTGGACCAATAGGGCTTAGAAAATATTTGTTAAAAAAATGAAAATATATTCTTATGATTTTCCCTAGCCTTTTAGATTTGACTAGTTTTGTATTTTACCAATGTAAGCAAATATCTTTTAAATTTATAGCTATTTTATCCTCCTTGTTGCACATACATGTGTATATGCTAATTAATGCTGTATCTTTTTTTCTTTTAAAATTTTTTTCAGTGACTTTCTTTAAAATTCCACATGTTTCCTTGCAAAGAGTCCAGAATGCAAACACTCATTCTTCATGAAACAATAACATGAGTTTTGCTACTTGCATATTTTCTTCAGAGACTTCCCTATGGGTTAGAAATGGCCTCTGATTGAGATAAGCCACTAAATATTTCTTTGGTTCTCTAGTTCTTCATCTATAAAATGTATAGGCTATAACAGTTTATCAGTGAAATTTTTTGGTGATCATGATGATTAATGTGTGTGAATATAAAGCAATACTTAAGA